CCACCTCTCTACGAAAATGAATGCGGGATTCTTTCTTATCCAAGTTTTTTAAAAATACGCTTAGAGAGAGAGAGAAATCCTACACTAAAATTAAACATAAAATGTAGAAAAAGGACAAATTTTTATAGAACTAAGTAAATAGTATAATTATCATTAGCAATATTACAGTGAATTTAAGAATAAAAATGTATTTTTGTAAGCGAATCAAAATAGCAATGAACAAATAGTTCTATTAATCACATTACTTAAATATACTTTAAGTCTAAATATAAAATTAAAACAATTAAAATTTAAAATAACAAAATTAAGTATACAGGTACTAAGAAAAAGTTACATGAAATAATTTAAATACAAGAAAACAAAATATAATTAAGACTTACCTTGCAGCAGCACCGGATATATTTGTACAAAACTGCCATACAATGACAAAAGAGCTAGTATTAGCTAGAGATTATGTGATATAAATCTTCTGATTGAATCCCTTTTGAAAGGTTTTGACCTAGATTCCTCTCTTCCCAATCAACTACTTGTCTTACTATCCCTTTGCTTAAATTAATTCATGGATAGAATTGAATATTGTTAAATTACAACTAAAATTCACAAAGACGGATCGGTTCTTCTGAACAGATTACCTATGATTTTAAGAGGGAATTTTAAAATAGATTTTTCCAAAAGACAAATCAAAACCTTTAGTTGATTTTTTTAAAATCAAAATTCATTTTAATTATATCAAATGATCCAAGAGAAAACACGAGGAAGTACGGAACAACACTTGACTGAGTTTTTTTATAGATATTTAAATAAAATTTTGAATCTAAAGTATTTCTAACCTATTTCAGCTGCCATAAACCTATTGTTTCCTTTTATAGAATACAATTAATTCACAAATATTATTGTATAATTCGCACAAAAATATTACTTTACGAGTACAGACATAAGATTATAGGACAATACTAATATCCCCTTGTTATTTATTCACCAAACTAATCCCTGAAATAACATTACAAAATTTGAAGTTATCCCTTCTATCGTGTAATCATAAGCACACACACTTTTTTTTATTATTTATTTATCTCTTCTAATAAGCAGTCAGGCCGTTTTTGCACAAAGTCAGGTTTGGTGGAGCAAAAGATAGATGCATTTTCTACCAGTTGAAAAATGAAATTTTTTGTTAAATTTCTTCCAAATTTTGGAAAACATTTGTTATTAACAATTGTTTTGCTATCAATGAGATTTGTCTAGTAAGCGAGAATTGTTTGTTTATTGAATATTATAATTGAAAAAAAAATTGTATGCATTCATTGCATGTATCTGATTTGAGACGCGGCGTCAGTAGGGTCTAACTGCGCAGCGCGAAAGGAGGGGGAGTTATTTTTGGAAAATGGGTATTTAGAATTGTGTGATTAGTGTTAAAAATCATAGATTAGTGTTAAGAAATGTATTTATGGTTAATTGATATTACAAATGTATGAAATAATTAACATTCAATGCACAGATGCAGGATACTGTTAGGATTCGTTAGTGGTCCTATTTTCAATGACAGACCCTGATGTTGAAAAAGGTCGTAGCTGAGAAGCAAGTGCTGTTGGAGAGGAACATAGTTCATGAACAAAATGTGGCTCAGAAGTTTCTAATAATTATTATTGTGTGGTACACAACTGGGGGTTTCTTTCAGAGGTTTTCCCCTAGTACTAGTCCGAATGGGGTGTACTTGTATGTTATATTTCTCATAAATTTGTAAATTGTGTAAGTAATTAATTAAATTTAAGATAGAAAGTAGGTTAGTTGATTTCTTTTTTTGCGCGATGTCGCAAGTGCAAGTTAGGAATTAAGAAAAATTTAGAATTTTTGGCAAATTCCTGAATCAGTTAGTAACGTAATTTTTGTCGGGTCTTCTTTACGGAGGGAGGGAGTTAGAACGGGTCTTTCTACGATTCTTCCATCAATCCTCTTGGGTAAAATTAATCTTTAACTGTGATTTCAGTTGAAAAACCCTCTCAGTAAAGAAGACGAGATTTATGCAAATGAGAACTTGTATTTAAGGCCAATTTACGAGATTTAACTTGTATTTAAGGCCAATTTCGCATATATACGAGAGCGTCAACTTGACGCGGAGCACATTTTCGGACAGAAAAAATGCCTCAATTTTTACAAAAGTTTGTGACATTGTAACTCATGCATTTGTTTATAATGTAGTGTTTTTAAAATTTAAAAATATTTCATAAATGATTAGTTTTTCCTTTTAACATGTAAAGGGATAGCTCATTTAGCATTACGGTATAGGAAAAAGATTGCGAAACACATTTAATAAACGAAAACATGTGTCGATTTGGATAAAAATGAGTAGCATGATAAAATAACTGATTCCCTACAGGATAGTGAAGCTAGAATATAATAATAATGTTTGAGTACTTTTATATTTTAAAAAATATTCCGAATTTGGTCCCTATTCTTTAACATTAGCCGAACACAGCCTTAAGCGTTTGCATTCGAGTAGACGATGAGGGTTGATGGTTGAAAGTGGAGACTGAAGTGTGAGTAAGATTAAGACTGGAGGTCGTATAGTTAAGCAAGTTATCTAGAGAGAATCTAAGAGTCAACATCTCACCAATTATAAGATAAGTTAGTTTGTTTCTATTGAAACAACCTACTACAGAGGTTGTTTCGAGAAAAGAGATCAGCCATAGCAAGTTTTAAACGCAATTTTATTTATCCTTTTTACTTAATCAACACAACTAAAGGTAGGAAAATAACCGGCAGAGCAATCGCATACGCTTAAAACTACTAAAATAATATTAAGATTTAATTCTGGAACACTCGACTTGGATTCTCTGTAAATATCTTTCTTAACTATACAACCTCCGATCATAAATCTAATTGACAATTTAATCGACCATCATTCCTCGATCATCAACGCGTACAAAAGTGCCAACGCTTCAATAGAAGAGCTCATTTAACTCAATCCCTTCGAGGGAACGTTTTTACCAGAACTTACAGTTGAAAAGAATTATTTTACCCAAGAAGATGAGTGGAAGATTCGCGGATAGACCCGTTACAAAATGATCATTCGAAATGACCTGTAATTATAAAATAATTTAATAAATAATTTAATTGTAATAATAAAATTGTGTTCCTCAGGGACGTCACAACTGGTATAGAAGGAGATCCTTTTTAAGAACACACAAGAGAGTGATAGTAGTAGACAGGCAGTTGCACGTAGGCTTGGTGCGGAAGTTTGAAGAAGAGGAGTTCTCGTCACCTGACCAAGGGGCTCAAAATAACGACGTCGCGTTGCTTTAGAGTCGAATTAAAAAAATTAAATATTCAACACGACAATGGAAAATTAGAAATTGCCCAATTTTTCATTCGTTTTATTGATTATTCATCACAAAGAGTTTAAACCATAGTGATAACAAGTCATTTTCGAGCGAAAAATGAAAGGCTGAATGGATCTAGCGTTTTTACTTTACAATATCATAAAGGGGGGGGGGGCGATTGGAAGGAAACACCGAAATATGCATCTTTTACTTTTAAATAGTCTAGAAGTCAATATATGAAACCCAGTGGCTGAGTGGAAGTGTATCGCGCTTCCACGCCACAGGTCCGGGGTTCAAATCCCGGGCTAGGTCAGGTTGACTCAGCCTTTCATCTCTTCAGTGGGTCAATAAATGAGTACTTAACTAGCTTGGGAGCTAAACACTGGGGGGTTTCACGTCAGACTGACTACCTGAACGGAACATCTGCTCATGCACCTCAGTGCCCAAGGTCATTAAAACTGAGATGGGAACAATAGGCCTTGACCCTCTACGGGCTGTTGTGCCACTGAGTTGAGTTGTAGAAGTCAATATATTAAACTTTTCAAAAACTTTCTAGAAATAAGAATTCGAATGATATCATCCGTATTGCCGTACAATGGTTGTGCATATATAAATAGTTCTTAAAAATTACTTAACTTCAGATTATATGGTTATACTACAAAATGGCTATTTTAAGAACATTGCGACTCTATAAACAGATTGTGACAGAGATTGCTCCAAATTTCTTCGTAGTGCCAAACCAAACCCCTTTTTTTCATTTCAATCACTTACTAAATGCCAACACAACACAAATCTGCAACTGAATGATTCGCCAACTTTGCAAGCAAAATAAATACATTAAGCAGAAGCAACCAATCTGAAAATTCCCATTTATTGAGATGATCAATTTTTAATAACATACATTTTTAGTGATGGTAATTTATATCAGAACAAAGGGAAAAGATTTTG